GAACCCTCGGCGGGAGCACCGCCATGCTCCCAAGCGGTGCACTGTAGCAGTGCGCCACCGGCCGGCCCCTCCAGTAATAGTCTTTATTAAGTGTCTCTAGGGACAGGGCCTGTCCGAACCCAGCCCCAGTCCTTGCGACCACAGGGAGAATGGTGAAGGGTACGTGTTGAGTGAGGTGCTGGCCCCACAGCCCTCAGTGCTGAGCTGAGACCCACGTTCCCAAGCTTGGCAGGAGTCTCCTCCCAGGCCCTACTGCCCAGGCCTGAGGGAGCTTGTCCCCACCAAGGGATGGTGTATGTTCTGTCCCCCAGGTCTCTACAGTGTGGGGAGATGTACCAGGAGGGGCCTGGCCATGATCCTGCCACCCTCCCCCTCATTTGCCCTGGCCCTCGCCTCTGCCCTCTGGCTGCCAGCAGTAACACGATGGATCCCTCTCTGGCTGCACCTGAATCGTGCCTGATGTCCCTTGCAATGGCATCCTCCAAGGAAGTTTCCTTCCAGACGGGGCAACTGGCCCATCATCATGGGCTGGACTACATGATGCGCCCTGCAGACGCCACTGTGTCAGTGTCCTTCGCCACCCTCGGTGATCCCAGGCCTACAGGTGGGTCCACTTTGGACAGACCATGAGTTTCTGTACCAGACACTGCAACTACTTGGGTCTTGTTTGAGGGGGTGAAAGTGTGGGCAGGACCAGGATTTTCTGCCCGAATCTGTAGTGTTTGATTAGATCCAGAACCAGTGCAGATGGAACAGAAACTCTTCCAGCAAACATCCAAATTACTTATTTATTTTATTTGGCAAAAAAATAGGCACATGACAAAAAGTAAGACACTGAGGAAAGAGTTAAAATGAAAGGAAACTGATGCTCCCCTGCTGTCCTTGCTCCAGTCCACCTAACTCACCTGTTGACACCTGGTGCAAGAGGAGGTTACACTCTCCACCCTCAACCTATCATAGAAACATCATTATTTTAATTTCTTTCTTTCTTGTTATTGTAGCTATAAGTACCTTTAAGTAAGATGTATTTAGATATATATTTTGCCCTTCAAACGCAACAGAATCTTGTGATTTTGCACCTTGTAAGGAGGATATTGGCACTATGATTCATATACCTTTCTTAGTATGTTATGGGTTTGTACATCTTTTCTCCAGCTTTTTGTTTTCTTGGGGTTTCTAATTGCCTTTCTTTTTCCTTACATTGTCTGCTTTTATTACATCATTAACATTTTTCAGCATTTCAAGAATCTCATCTGTAAACTCCCTACTGAGAGCCCTCCTTTTTCCTGTCAATCCAAGTGATGTCCCCTCAGGCCTGAGTGGAGCTGTCATCACCAGAGCTTGCATAACTGCTTCCTTGTGTTTGCTCCAGTGTTTCCTGAACACTGGAAACAATGTTCCAGTGTTGTTTCTTTCTCAAATCCCTTGTCTTCAATTAACTTGGCAAGGAGGGATGCCTGCAAGATACATTTTTTGAGTCCTTGCATGTTTTAAAAATGTCTTCAATCTACTGTCATGTTTGGTTAACATTTTGGCAGGGACAGAATTCTGAGTTGAAAATACTTTTCCTTCAGAAATTTGAAGACATTGTATCATTTTTTGGGGTAGCATTTAGTGTTGTTAAATTAGATGTCATTTTGATGTTTATTCCTTTGCAGATAACCTACTTTTCCTTTCTTAGAGCTTTAGGTTCTTTGTTTGTTTGTTTGTTTGTTTTGGTGTTCTGAGATTTCACACTGATGGTTCTAGGTGTGGGTCTTTTTAATAAATCTTGCTGATAAGCCTTTCAGTTTAAAGAGCAAGGTCTCTTTTAAGCTCTGGGCATTTTTTGTAATATTCTTTGATAATGTCTTCAGTAATATCTTTGATAAGTCCTTTCCTCTGTGTTTCCAATTCTCTCTTCAGAGCACAAATGGTATTTAGAAGTTGAAACTCTGAAACCTGTCTCCCCCAAGAGCTTATCTTTTATCTTATATTTCATTTTCTTTTTTATTGTATGTGCATTTTGGGATATTTCTTAAATCTGTCTTCCAATTTTTTATTTTCACAGTTATGTTTTGAGTTATATATTTTAAGAGAATTGAAAGCTCTTTACTGATCTCTGAATTTTCCTTCTGTATTAGTCTGTTTTGTGTTGCTACAACAAAATACCTGAGACTGGGTAATTTATAAAGAACAGAGGTTTATTTGGCTTACGATTCTGGGACAGCTGCATCTGGCGTGGGCCTCAGGCTGCTTTTACTCATGGCTGAAAGTGGCAGGCAACCAGTACAAGCAGATCACATTAGGGGAGCAGGGGGAGGAGGGTGGAGGAAGAGGGAGGGAGAGGGAGGGAAGGAAGGAAGGTGCCGGGGTCTTTTAAACATCCAGCTTTCGGGGGCGAGAACCCACTCACTACCCCCACCCTCAGGGAGAGCATTAACCCATTCATGAGGGATCCACCCCCATGACTCAAACAGGTCGCACCACTGCCACACTGGGGATCACATTTCTACATGAGTTCTGGGAGGAAAATACATCTGAACTCCATCACCTCCCTGTATAGATTGTTACTTTCTGTCTTATACTTTTCTGAGGATTCTAATTAGGATTTTGAAAATATGCTTCATAGTTTGAAGGCAGGACTATTGGGACTGTGGATTCTGGCCCTTCCTTGAATAGAGAAGGATGTGGGTCCAGAAAGAGGAAGGGATCTGAGGACTCGTTCCTCTAAGGGGACCTGTCACTTTGGTGATATTGGTCTTCCATTTCTTGCTGTCTTTTTTTTTTTGGTGTTGGTGGTCTTGGCTGTGCCACACGTGGGCCATGCCCCTTTCTCCTCCAGTGGATTGTGGAATTATTTTATGTGCAGGATTTGCTGACCCGCCCAGTGGCCATCCCCAGAGCATGTACCTGGAGGAGTGTCCAGGCACAAGTGGAGAACGAGCAGATCTACAGTCGGGTGACTTCCTGGTGACACAGCCCCCGCTGCAGGCTCCTGACCTCATCCTCACCCAGAGGTAAGCCCCAGAGAGCAACGGGCTTGGACGATGCTTTCTGTGGACCACGAGGTGTGGGGCAGTGCTTGGTTTACAGACTCACATCTCAGACTGTGCAGATCAAGTCCTTTACTCGTGGGTTTCTGAAAGCTGTAACAGTCCTCCCAGCCTGTATATATCAAAAGGAGGGTAGTTTTTCCCTCAAACAAAAGGGCATCCCAAAACATCAGAGCAGAAGTGGGCATCCTGTCCTTTGGACGGTGTCCCTCATGGCTCATGTGGACTGTCTTCCTGGCTGCCTTGACCATTCCTCTCATACATTTTTGTTCTGATCTGAGGACCTTAAATCCTTTAAAGCAGCTTCACAGGGGTGTGATTGTCGTACGGTAATCATGCATGTTAGATGGAGCAGCTGACAGTTTTCTCAGTGAGACCTTCATGTCCACCACAAAGCCACAACCATAGTGAGAGGTGTGAATGTACCTTCCCTCCTGTCCTCCCCCCCAGGGCCATAGATTGCTTCCGTCACTGTAGATTAGCTACGTTCTATAGAATTTCATGTAAATACAATCACATGGTATGTACTTGGGGCTTTTTGTTTGGCTTTGGTCTGGCTTCTTTGAGATTTGCCCTGTTGCTGGGTGTATCAGTAGTTCATTCCTTTTCATGGCTAAGCCGTGTTCCAGGGTGTGGGCCTGTTTGTTGATCTATTCTCCTGTGGATGGCATGTGGGTGTTCCCACTGTGGGGTGACTACGGATAAGGCTGCTAGGGACATTCCGGTACACGTGTAGTCTGTACACTTGCCTTCATTTCTCTTTATTATTTCCCTCGTCGAGGTTCTCCTCAGTGTGAACCACATTTCCTTCTTGACACCCTACAGATGTGCAGGCCCTGTGGGAAGAGAGTCTATTCCTGATCAGTCTCAAGCACCTAGAACAGCTGCTGATGTGTAGAAAGCATATCTGGGTGGGTCTCATCACCTCATGTCCCCTCAAAAGAGCCTGTCCTGACACCTTTCCTTTTCTAGTCCCCTAGAGCTGGCGCCAGGCCCATCCACCTTCCAGGGCTCAGGGTCTGCCATGGAGCTGGGCCAGCCCCTGCCCTCCAGCAAGGTGAGATCTTCCTACAAGCACCATGTGTCTCCCTCCTGACTCCAGCATCTGAGCTCATGGTGCTGGGAGGGCTCAGCTAGTGCTGTTGGATTGAACAAACCAGGCAGAGATGGGCGAGGGGCAGTGATGACTCCTGGCTGGACATCAGTGGACTGGGAGCTGGGGTGGGGGTGCCGTGGGGCAGCATTCTCTCCTGAGTCCAGGGTGGGAGGGTCTGCACAGGCTCAAGAGTGCCAGGCTGGAGGCAGGTCTTGGCGCCTGGCAGAGGCAGCCTCTGTGTAACACTGCATTGTTTTTCCAGGTGCAGTGGCCTGATGGCCAGGTCTCCTGTGATGCCTTCTGGGGAGCCAGGATGCTCCTTGAGTTTTCAGGGGGCAGCCTGGGCTGAGTTGTACCCCAGGAGCCAGCCCAGAACCTCAACAGAAGCAGGTGTGGACTGTCCAGCTGTTCAACACAAGTTACAGAGCTTTATCCTGAATAAAAAATGAGGTCCCCAGAGTTCCCTGAGGGGTTCTGCCGAGAAGCACTGAGGGCCTCTTGGCTTGCTGGCATGTTCAAATAGTTTGGTGGGCAGCTCCCTGTACTGCAGGGAGCATTTGAGAAATGTTCATGAGAGCAGACGTCAAAGGTTAGTATGTCCTGTGGGGGCAGCGATGGATTGGAGCTAAACTCTGGTGCAAGATGTGTGCAGGGAAGGACTTTCTGGGGAGAGGAGAGTGTTCCAGTGCTGGTGGCCTTCCCACCTGCCCTGCGCCCAGTTACTGTGGGAGTGAGATGTGGCAGGTGTTCTGACATTTCTGTGTTTGTGGGGCTTCTCCCTTGAGTGCTGAGAGACAGTCCCAGGCAGGGCGGATTTTCCCTTCAGGTTGTAATTCATGTTTGTGACACAAATGTTTCAATTTAATTAAAGTTTAATGTTTTGAACTCCTCCCTTGTATTCACTTATACACAACCCTGGGCATCTGTCTGTGTTGCGTCAGCCTTCTGGTTTTGCTGGTGTTTCACGGCAGTGTGCGCTGATGGGGGCATCACACCCTATTGATGGACATTGGTGTTGTGTCCAGTGTCTCTATTTTATGAGCAGCATTAGGGTGGGATTCCCTGTCCTCCGCCCTTTGCCCTTAACCTCGTTATTTCCTCAGGATAAATTCCTGGAAGCTGACTTTCTGGGTCAGTCATGGTAGCCCAAGAAGTGGACTTTGGGGTCTGGGGGTGTCTGTACTGACCCTTTGCACCTCTGCCCACGTGCCTGACTTGGAGGAGAGCCATGGGTGGGCTGGACTGTGACCCAGAGAAATCAGTCCCTGGTCCCGCTCTCAAAACAACCAAGCTTGAGAAAGATGCAGGCACAAGACTTCCTCCCTGTAGGATCATGGTGTCATGGGACCAGCAGCCGCACTGGGAGACCAGAGGCCATTGCACTGCTCACCCATGCCAGGCACACCCCTGGCAATCTGTGGGCCTGGAGGAGGATGAGGAGGTGGTGATGAAGAAGGTGTCCTGCTAGGTGGGTTAGGGGTAGTGTTAGGGGTTGGGGTTAGGATTGGGGCTACAGATAGGGTTATGGTTAGGGTTCCAGAGTTCCCGCGATCTAGATGCGAGTTCCACATGGTGGTGCTCAGTTTCATGGAGTTAAACTTAATTCTGAAGGATTAATCTTCTATGAGTTAGGGTTAGGGTTTAGGGGTTGGAGTTGGGGTTGGGGTTAGGGGTTAGGGTAGGGGTTAGGGGTTAGGGTAGAAGTTGGTTTGGTGTTATGGTTAGGATATGGTTTGGGTTAACGGTTGGGGTTAGGGTTAGAGATTAGGGTTAGGGTTGTTAGGGTCTGGGTCAGGAGTTATGAGTCAGGTTAGGGTTAGGGTTATGTCTGGGGAAAGTTCAGGTTATTTGCCTTTTTAATCTTTTCAATATAATAATGGCTGTCATAACATGTGACCTAATATTTCACTGGTTTTGGCTTGCATTTCTTTGATGGTTACTGGTTTGAGCACCTTTTAATATATTTGTTAGCCATCTATATGTCTTCCTTGTTGAAAGTGCTATTCAAGTTATTTGCTCAGGGCTGGCCTGTGGCTCACTTGGGAGAATGCGGTGCTGATAACACCAAGGCCCCGGGTTCGGATCCTATATAGGGATGGCCGGCTCGCTCACTGGCTGAGCGTGGTGCTGACAACACCAAGCCAAGGGTTGAGATCCCCTTACTGGTCATCTTTTTTTTTTTTTTTTTGTCCTTTTTGAGACTGGCCGCACTGCGCTCAGCCAGTGAGCACACAGGCCATCCCTATATAGGATCTGAACCTGCAGTTCGGCCCCCGGTCATCTTTCAAAAAACAAACAAACAAAAAAAACCAAGTTATTTGCTCATGTTTTATCTTTTTTTTTTTTTTTTTTTTGTATTGAGATGTAGGGCTTCCTTACATTAATTAATTTGTGAATATTTGGATATTAATCCATTATCAGATATATGGCTTATAGTTATTTTTCTATTCTGTACTTACTTTGCCCTTTTAATCTGTTCTTTTTTTTTTTCCTGTGTAGAAGGTTTTTAGTATGACATAGTCCCACTTGTCTATTTTTAATTTTGCTACATGTGCTTTTGGGGTCAAATCCAAGAAATCATTGCCAAGACTAATACCATAAAGATTTCCTTCTATGATTTTTTCTGGCAGTTTTACAATTTCAGGTCTTATGCTTAAGTTTTTAATGCATTTTGAGTTGATTTTGTGTGTGGGGTATAAAAAGGTTCAGCTTTTATTTTGCTCATAAAAACTTAGTTGGCTGTGTATGTTTGGATTTATTTCTGTACTCTGTATTCTGTTGCATTGATCCACATGTCTGCTTTTATGCCAGTACCATACTTTTTAAATTACTGTGGCTTTGCCATATATTCTATAATCAGGAAGCGTGATACCTCAGGTTGTTTTTTCTTTCTCAAGGTTATTTTGGTTATTGTGTGCCTTTTGTGTTCTATGTGAATTTTAGGATTGTATTTTATTGCTGTAAAACTGCCTTTGGTATTTTGATAGGGACTGCATTGAAACTTTGGATTGCTTTGGGTAGTATGGACATTTTAACAAAAATTAATTCTGTCAATCTATTAATGAGGGATATCCTTTCAATTACTTGTGTCTCTTTAATTTCTTTCATCAGTGTTTTGTAATTTTCAGTGTACAAGTTTTTTCACCTCCATAGTTAAATTTATTTCTAAGTATTTTCTTTTTGATGCTATTGTACAGGGATTGTTTTCTCAATCCCTTTTCAGATAGATTATTGTGAGTATATAAAAATGCAACTGATATTTGTAGGAAAATTTTGTCTCTGCAACTTTACTGAATTTGTTTATTATTTCTGACAGTTTTATTTTTTTGTGAAGTCAACATTTTAAAAATATAAGATCATGCCATCTGCAAACAGACATAATATTACCTCTTAATTTCCAATCTGAATGATGTTTTTGTTTCTGTTGTTACCTAATTGCTCTGGCTAGACCTTTGAGCATTCTGCTGAATAGAAGTGGCACGAGTGGCTATCCTCTCCTTCTTCCTACTCTTAGAGGAAAAGCTTTCAGCATTTCAAAGTTGAGAATGATGTAAATTCTGGGTTTTTCATTTGCGGCACTTACTGTGTTTAGGTAGATTTTCTTTCTAATCTGAGTTTGATGAGTTTTTATCATGAAAACGTTTGGATTTTGTCAAGTACTATTTCTGCATTTATTGAGATGATGCTGAGATTTTTATACTTTATTTTGTTGATATGGTATATTACACTAAATGATTTTTGTTTGTTGAAGCATCCTTGCCTCTCAGGGATAAGTTCCACTAGGTCATGGTTTATGATCCTTTTAATGTGTTGAATTTGGTTTGCCAGTTTATTTTTAAGATTGTTTTCATCCATGTCTATGAGGGGCATTGGCCTTTAGTTTTCTTTTCTTGTAGCATCTTTGTCTGGCTTTGGTATCAGGGTGACCCTGGCCTCAAAGTGAGTTTGGATGTCTTATTTTCTTTAGTTTTTTTGATGATTGGCATGAATTCTTCTTTAGATTTTTGGTAGAATTCACTGGTGAAGCCCTCTGATCCTGAGGGTTTTTTCTTGAGAGGTTTTTGACACCGATTCAATCTTCTTAGTAGTTGAAAGTTGGTTTAGGTTTACTATTTGTTCAAGATTCAGACTTGATGGGTTGTGTGTTTCTAGGAATTTACCCATTTCTTCTAGGTTATCAGTCTGTTGGTGTATAGTTGTTAATAATAGTCCCCTATGATTCTTTTCATTTCTGTGGCTTCATCATTTCTTCTTTCATTTCTAATTGTACTTATTTGAGTCTTTCTGTTTTTTTTTAGTGTAACTAATGTTTTATTAATTTTGCTTAACAAAATTAATTTTTTAAAAGCCAGATTTTGTTCTATTGTTTTTTTTTTCATTCTCTCTTTCATTTATTTCTACTCTAATCTTTATTATTTCCTTCTTTTTGCTATCTTTGGGCTTAGTTTATTTCTTTTTCTATTTTCTTATGTAAAGTTAGGTAATTTATCTGTGATCTTTTAAAAATAATCTGTATGTTTATCACTACAAACTTTATAGTACTGGAATATAGAAATCTGGGAAAGGTGCATTCCAGCCTGGTATCTTATTTACCTAAGTGCTTTTATATGAAATACACATAAATTAAGATTAACTATTTATGCTGTAAAAATCTATGTATTTGTCAAATACAAAGTGACAGGTACCTACCATTAAAGTATCATACAGAAGTCTTCACCTTAGTCTCACTACCCTCAGGAATCCCTGGCAACCATTGATCTGCTTATCCACTTCATAGTTTTGTCTTTCCAGACTGTGTTAAGAATGGGATCCTACAGTACATAAACCTTTTAAAAATTTTATTTAAAAGATGATTTATGGGCAGGCCCGGTGGTGCACTGGAGAGTGCGCCGCTTGGGAGCGTGGTGGCACTCCCGCCGAGGGTTCGGATCCCATGTGGTGACCGGTTCCCGCTCACTGGCTGAGCGTGGCGCGGGCGCAGCACTGAGGGTTGCGATCCCGTTGCTGGTCCCCGGTATGGGCGTGACACCGAGGGTTGTGATCCCGTTACCGGCCAGTAAAAAAGACAAAAAGGAAAAAAAAAGATGATTTATTATACATATATGTGGGGTACAAAATTGACTTTCAGTAGTTGTGCACAATGTGTGATTGTAAGATCAGGATAGTTAGCTTATTCATCATTATGAAATGTAATCATTCTTTCTGTCTGTTAACCAATTTCTTGTTAACTCCTCTCTCCCCCACTCCTCCCCTTTTCCACCTCTAGTAACCACAGTTCTTTTCTCTCCTAAAAGTTCAATGTATTATTGTGATTGTTGATTCTTTCTCTCTCTCTTTATTTATGGATTTGGCTCCCACTTATGAGAACATGTGGAATTGCTATTTCTGCACCTGCATTGTTTAATTTAGCATAATTTTCTCCAGACTCATCCTTGTTGCTGAAAATGGAAGAATTTCATTCTTTTATGTGGCTGAATAGTATTGCATTGTGTGTATATACCACATTTTCCTTATCCAGTCATCCACTGACGAACATTTAGGTTGGTTCCATAGCCTGGCTATTGTAAATAGACCTGTGATAAACATGGGAGTGAAGTATCCCTTTGACATGATGATTTCCAATCCTCTGGATATATACCTAGTAGTGGGATTGCTGGATCTTATGGTAGTTCTATCTGTAGTTGTTTGAGGAATCTCCATACTTTTCTTCATGATAAAGACTCAACAAATTAGGTATGGAAGGAAGGTATCTCAACACAATAAAAACCATGTATGAAAATCACACTGCCAGTATCATCCAGAATGGGGAAAAGCTGAAAGCATTTCTTTTATGAATAGGAACAAGACAAAGGTGCCAGTTCTCACCACTCCTATCTAACATAGTATTG